GTTCCTTTTTAGGTTTAATCCTAAGCCTACACTTGTCAACCATCCAAGCCAACAAGTGCACCTATCCTAGGCCAACAAGTGGGTGAATCTCCACCCTCCACATGTCACAAGTTAAAGCTTCCAAGTGATTCCACCCCAATGCCAACAAGTGGCTCCATGAGAGTGTGACACTTGTCACACTTTCTAAAAATTGCAAAAAGATCATTTTCTAAAATATCTTCTAAATTAAATTATAAAATGGTCCCTAAGACAAAAAATAATTACTTTACATAATTACACTAAAACCCCAAAAATCAAGAATGTTTTAAGGAAACTTTGCATCCCTGCCCTTTTAAGAAAAAGTAAGCAACTAGCATGCTTTTCTACGAAAGTAAAAATACATATATCATGGAAATTAAATATTATGGATGCATGCAAAGCTGGAATCAAATCCGAGCACAAAAAGTGAGGTTATGCAATGAAAAAATGATAAACGGGAAAAAGACGAAAAAGGAAATCACCGAAAAAGGAAAGGAATAAAAATGATCGGGCCATTATAATAATCCCCTCTGCACTACTGTTGGTTGCAAATCACAATCAAAATTATTATAAATATGCAATTTGAACTTCCCACCCCCAATCACCGAACATCATTTTCCGACGTCTAGATAGTTAAAATTAACTAAATACCTTCACTTATTAATTTATATAAAATTTAAAAAATATCATAAATGTGAAATACTAATAAAACTCTTCAGGGGCATCTTGCAACTAACCATTAGTTCATGGGATTTTTTTTGCATTTTTGCTTAGTAATAATAATAATAAACAATAATAATAATAGTAATAGTAATAATAACAATAACTAATAATAATAATAAGTTATAATAACACCAACGGATTAGTGGTCTAGCGGTATCAGCCTCTTACTTCCCAAAGGGAGGTAAGGAGTTCAAGTTTCAGAAAAGACATGTGTGTGTGAGTACCAACTAGGGAAAAAGAAGAAGTTATAATAACAAAAATAATAATACTATTAAAAGTAATAATATTGATAGCAATAATAATAAGGGGTTTTTTTTTTTTTTTTTTTTTTTTTTTTTTTTTTTCACTTTTGCTATATATCTAACAGGGGCAAGGTGAATTTGATTTAATACACATATGTTCATATATATATATATATATATATATATACAGGACTATTCACTTGTTCACTGGTATACAAGGAATTTATGCAGGAATTAAATCTTAACCGTTGGATATAAAAGAATAAACAACCTTTTTAACTGTCCACTGAAATCTAATGGTTAATACTTGAGGTGTGTATACATTTTTCTGCACATCAGAGAGCAAGTGAATAATTCTGTATATATATATATATATATATATGTTCATGTCCATTCATATTTGGTGTCGTCATCATGAACCAACAAGTTAAAATGTGTTAAAAAGTGGCCAAGTTTGAATTTGTAAAGTGCCACTACTACCTCTAACTACTAATATAGCTAGGGTGAGTAGGGATCATCCCAAGGGAAAGGAAGCAATATTGATATGGAAACAACGTTGGACTAGTAGGTCGAGTGATCAAAGATGTTTTGATTGGTTAATTAAACTACAATGTTAAACAAATCCAATACAAAACAATTAAAGTAAATAAAGAGTAGAGAAATAAGAGAAGGATCTTGGGACTTAGAGGTCACCACTAAATATCACCTTTCTAGACACTCAATGTGTAATGAATGAAGGGAAATATATGTTGTAATACTAATATGTGTGATTGATTGAATCAACAAGCATGGATGACTAATTAAGTATACATTGTCTAGACAACCTAATGAATAGCATAATATATCAAACTAAGCCATTATTCCTTCTTTTAAGCTCACAATCAAAACATATTAACAAGTTAGAGAATTATACTACTTGCATTCATAAGCATGGAACACCAAATAATAAGCATGGATTATTTTTCCATCTAAGAAAGTAAGACAACTACACTACAACTAAACTAGGGACATGAAAATTAAAATAATTAAACTAAGGTAGAGGCACAATCCATCAAGAAATGAGTACGATCCATCAAACAAACCACAAGAGTATTTCATCAAAGCACCATGCCTTTACAATATCTAGATTCGTAGCATCAACACACATAGACATGCATCAATAACACAAAACCTAGAGATAAATACATGAACATCTATTCTAGCATACATAGACATATGAGTAGAATGAAATGATCAATTGGAAGTATTAAACAACATAAATCATTGTAGAAACAAGATTCATATATAAATCAAATGTCAAGACAAGAACTACAACACAAATCCCCTCAAAATACAAAACATCAAGATCTAAAAGGCATGCTTAGGGCTAACTCCAGCCCTAAGAAGATGTTTAGCCGCTCAATGATGTAGTCATCCAACCCTCAAGGGCCATCTCCATGGTAGGAATGATCTTCTTGATCGAAACCTTAGATGAATGGAAGAACTCCCAAATGGTGTGTATCTCTCTAATCTCTAGACTCCTCCAACCTCTCTTTCCAAGATAGTGTATATCTTCAAGATTGTATATCTCTTGTAAAAAATGGCTCAAAATCCTTATATAGGTAGCTCAAGTGTCACACCCAATGGTCAAGCCTCGTGCATTAGGGCCCCTTCAATGATTGCACCATGAGCCATCTTTTAATGAGCTAGACTCTGTTTTTTTTTTTTCGAACTTGAGGGGTTCGATCGTTCGAAGTTTGGTGAGATTGATCGAACCATGGCGGTGCCTTTTGTAATACTGGCAAATCTGAGATATTTTCGAGATATTTTGGGAAAAAGACAAAAGTGGTAGGTGGGGATAAGATCAAAGAATTTCGATCGATCGAAAGGATGTTGGATCGATCAAAGATGGAAATTCATGGGGATAAGGACAAGAGGCTCGATCCATCTTAATAAGGCTAGATCGATCAGTGTGAGATCGATCGAAGATTTGTCTGATCGATCGAAACTTTTCCAAGCTAATATATGCTATTGAACTCGAGAAGCTCTTTGCAAATCCTAAACAGGATGATTGCATCTTCAGGTCAAGCCAAAGCTAATTCAGTAGAGAAGTGAACATGGCAGCACCATGGCGGGCGCCCACCATCCATGTGCAAATCCTACGTGCGACCGAGGGCAGAGACTTTGAAGTTTGGCGGGGCCTCGCCATGCACCACGGGCCCCCGCCATTTGCCATCTTGACACCCCACGACAGCCCCCTTGACACCTCGCGGGCGCCCGCCAATTTGCAGACAACAAAGCATGGGCTGCATTGTTTCACCCAATGCTGTCCCCTTGACCCAATGGATGGCTCTGCACTCTTTTAGGGATTTCTAGCCACGAAATTAATTAATTTTGGGAGGATTTTTGGCTCATAAAAGGGGATTGTATGGTTGTAAAGAGATATCTCACTTTGTAAGGTTTCTGGAGAGAGAAATATTGTTCTTGAGAGCTTGTGAGTTATTCTTGGTTGCTAAGTGTGAAAATTGATGGGAGGATCTCCCTTTCTAGGGAGGTGATGAAGCCCTTCTTTGTAAGCATGCTCTAGTTTGCATTTTAATTTGGGGAATGAAGTGTGTATATGGTATTTTCATAATCTAGAGCACTTTACATGTTGTAATGGATATTAATATCTATAAATGATCATTTTGAGTTGATTATCTTGTCTTAGATTATTTCTTCTCATGATCATATAGCTTGCATCTTCGTAATGAGAATGGAAATGAGATTTTGAAATGGGTTTATTGGCATGTTGTATGAGAAACTTGTTAGTCCATAGCTTAGGGCCTCCATTTGATGGATTTTTATTGGTTCTTGATTTCATGTGCTCTTACCATAGTGATTGGGGGGTTTGATAGTACCTAGCTTAGTGAGCATGTCAAAGCTACACTTTAATTTAGGTAGTTCAAGCTTGTGGAACTTTGAGGGATAATACTTAACTCTTGATTCTATGAACTCCTTGGAGATATTGTAGTAATCTTGTATTGCTACTTATCATTGCCATATATTTAATTTGTTTCCCAAATTAATCACAAGCTAGCATGTTTGTAGGGTTGGTAGTTGATTCACTTCCCTAGCCCTTTCTACATAAGTTCTCTCTTCTTAAATTCATTTAATTTATTATTTTATGCAATTTTCAATCCTAGTTTGTGACAACCCAGATTTTTAAGAGTTGAAATTATTTTTATTTCATTGTCATAGTTGATTATTAAAATTTTCATTGGAGATTTATTAATTGGAGATTGATATTTTTATTTTTGTTAAATTGGAGACAGTTATTGATTTGGTTATTTTGTTGCATAATATATATAAAATATAATTATGCAATGTTGAAGCAAATGGAAGAGGCTGCCAGCGAAATTTAGAGAAGGAAAATTCATATGGCTTTTGGCGGGTCCCATGGGTGATGATCTAATAGGCATGAAATTGGTTTCATTGTATATAGAATATACATATATACATTTTAGGGGAAAATAGGGGCTGCGAAATGAAGGGAAGAGAATTGGGTTTTGATTAATTTTTTATTATTTAAGTCTTGGATATGTATTACATAAATTGGTCATGATGGAATACAGCAGGTGCCGAAATAGTGTTCATTTTTTTTATTATATATGTGTGGTATTGAAATGCATGTAATGATGGATGATGGATGATGGATGATGGATAATATAAAGGAAAAGAGAATAGGATCCGTGAAAAGTGGGAATAGAAAAGAGATTTTGACAATGGTTATGTGGTGCGGGTCCCACGTGGTGACTTTGGGGCATTTTCTTTTAGCTTTATTCACATGGCTTTGTTTGGTTCTTCTGTTAAGTGATTTATAGAATACAATAATGAATGAAGCAGAAGATAAGAAGTAATAAAGTGGCTGCCGAAAGTGTATAGATTCAGATGATTAAAGTGATAAGGTGGTGGCGGGGTCCATAGTTACTTTGATATTTTGATATTTGTTTATGTTGGTGCATTGCCTATTTAATGAGTGCTTGTGTACACTGATTGTAAATGATATAGAAAAGTGCACAAGAGAGCTGAGAGTTTATAGACTGAACCGAGAGCTCCCAGAGATGGATTTGGTGACTTGTTTATTTTCACAGTGTAGGGATCATCGTACCTTGAATGGCTTGAATGATTTTATTTTAAATATTTTGTTGTTTGTTATTTTGCTAAAATTGCATACATGTATTTTGTTTAAAAGTATATATATATTTTTGTGAAGCAACTTTATCATGAAACTCTTTGAAATCCTTGTTATGGTTTTTCCTACTGTCTCACCCCCCTACAATTTCAGGTACCGAGGATGAACTTGGATTGTTAGTAGCGGGCTTAGGTGGAAGAGTTGGTGTTGAGGATTTAAATTATTTTATTTAGAGATTTTTATGTATTTATTTGAGGAAATTGATTTAGTATCAATTTAATTAATTTGAGATGTCTTATTTATATGAGGAAATTTGATTGATTTTGTATCAATAAAGGGTATTTTATTTCTTTTGAGATCCTGGTGTCTTTTATGAAGTATTTTGATTTAATGAAATCGAGACTTTTATTTAGAGAAAATTCGGGGCGTTACATAGTTCTAAGTGACAAACAAACCAAAAAACTCTACACCTCTTTCATCAAACAAAGTGATTTTAGCGACCTTGGTTGCCATAAACTTGTAGTCCTTGTGGATTGATTTACCCCTATGATAGCCCTATTTTACAATGATTTGTGCTATTGCAAGGGTTTATTAATTTTAGTAGACGTTTGTCGACCGACCAATTTTTGGCGCCGTTGCTTGGGATTGCAAACGGTTTTGTAACCAAGGTTCAAAGATTAACTTTAGTTTCATTGTGAATATTGTGTTCTTGTGGATATTTTCTTGTTTGGTTTTGGTAATATTATGTTTTAAGTATTCTTGTGAGATTCTAGGAATATGAGGCTTGCCGAGGGAAAACTGAAAATATCGTAAGTCTAGAGGACTCCAGGTAAGTTTTTCAAAGTTCTAGTTTAAAAATTGTGAATATCTTGCATGTGTTTAAATTAGTGATTTTTTATTGTGAAGCCCTTGACGAGGCTATTCCTATTTTACTGTATTACAAGGCATCGGTCCTTGTCGTGGCCATTTATTTTCTGTCTTGTTGATAATTGAGGAGAAAGGGAACATTGTATGTGGATGTTATAGTGAAGAAGTGTTGTGCTTATTGTCAATTGTGTTGTTGATGTTGGGACGTAGGTCATTATCTTTGCCAACTCTTGAAGCCCTAATTGACATAAATTCGCTTGAAAGGACTCTTAGAAAAAACCTTAAGGAATTTGAAAATATAAGATGAATTGAACTTGAATTTAATACAATGGCCAAAAATGAAGAAAATGTCGGGAATAAGGGAATCAATAATAATAGGCTGAAATTCCAAATGTGGTACCTTTGACTCTTAGGGACCATTTCATCCCTACCACTTATGCCTTTCCTTCTTGCATAGTGATGCCAAACATTGATGCAGCCCAATATGAGATCAAATTTAGCATAATTCAAATGCTTCCATCCTTTCATGGCTTTGAAAATGAAGACCCCAATAAGCATTTAATGAGTTCCTTGAAATCTGTTCTACCATCAAGCTTAGGAGCTTCCCTGAAAATGCACTCCATTTACGTCTCTTCTTATTCGCCTTAAAAAATAGGACAAAATATTGATTAAACTCTCTTGTTGCAAATTCCATCACTACATGGGCATAATTGTAACAAGAATTCCTAAAAAAATACTATCCGGTGAGTAAAACCAATCAAATGAGCAGTTTTATTCTTATCTTTTCCCAAATCGATGGGGAACAACTCCATGAGGCTTGGGAAAGACTTCAAGACCTCCTTAGGAAATGTCCGCACCACCTAATTCCAAAATGGCAATTGGTGCAAGCTTTCTATGATGGTTTAACCGAACCACATAGACTCATGGTTGACTCATCATGTGGAGGGATGTTCATGTCTAAAAATGCGGATAAGGCTTGGACCTTACTTGAGAATTTGAGTAAAAACTATTTGCAACATAATTCTCATAGGGCTCAAACCTCAATCAATGCAAAGAACACCAATCTATGTCAACCAAAGACAATGAGGGAAGAATCTTCTTAAGTGAATGCCATAGCTCACAAATTCTATCAATTAGATGGCACCACATCTCTCTCCTTCCTTATCTCAAAATTCAGCAAGTGCGATGTGTACATCATGCACTAGCCCATTCCATCTCTTGGAAGATTGCCCCACACCGGAGCAATTTCCTAGTAATAATCAAGAGCAAGCTAATGCCATGTTTTCTAGGCCCGAAAATAATCCTTATTCCAATACCTATAATCTGGGATGGAGAGATCATCCGAATTTTTCGTGGAGGCAACCCACCCTACAAAATTCTACATTTTAAAATCAAGGGCATCAAAATCAGCCCTCTTCTCAATTTCCGAATAGGCAATTTCAGGCCTCTCCAAGTTACCGTCCACCCTATAATCCAAATGTTTCTACTCCACCTCCTGTATTTCCAATTAATGAAATTCTCGCTGCAAATAAGCAAATGATGGAATCCCTTAACAAGAAAATGTTAGAATGTAACACGTAACTGTTGACATCATTGCAGCCCATTCTCCAAATGGTTCATTCACATACTCAATCAATAGCTAAACTTGAGAATCAAATGGGACAAATAGCTAATTCAATGAACCAACTTCTTCAAAGAGATAAGGGAAAACTTCCCGCTCAACCATTTGAGAATCCTAGAGGGCTTCATGTGATTGACGAAGCCCCTCCTCCGAGTAGTCCTACTCATGAACATGTCCAAGCAATCACCACCCTTAGGAGTGGTCGAATTGTGGACAACAAGGTTGATGGAGGAAAAGATGAAAAAGTTCTTCCTCCCAAAAATCCAAATCCTAGCTCATCTTATCCAAATTCCACTCCTGAAAATCCAAAGTCTAGCACTGAAAATTTTAAGCTTGTGACCCCAAATGTGGAGACTTCTTATGGGCCTAAGGCTCCGTTTCCTCAACGTCTCCAAGAGTCGACACATTTTGGGAACAAAATTTGTAAAATTCAGGACATGTGAGAGGTCTTTAAGCAAGGAAAGATCAACCTACCTCTCTTGGATGCTATCAAGCAAATTCCTCCCTATGCCAAATTTCTCAAGGATTTGTGCACTCAAAAGTGCACTTCCAAAAGTCATTTACCAAATAAGGTAAGGCTAACTGAACAAGTGAGTGCGCGATAATTCAGCACAACACTCCTCCAAAGTATAAGGATCCAGGTGCCCAGACAATCTTGTGTGTCATTGGTGACAACAAGATAGAAAGAGCCCTCCTTAACTTAAGAGCGAGTGTGAACTTGATTCTTTATTCATTTTACTTATAACTTGGGTTGGGGGATCTTAAGCCAACCTCCGTGGTCTTGCAACTTGCTGACAGATCGGTCAAGCACCCACGGGGCATTCTTGAAGATGTTATCATCAAAGTGGACAAATTCTACTTCCTGGTAGACTTTGTGGTTCTTGACATGGAACCTGTCCATGATCCAAAGAAACATATTCCCGTGATCCTAGGTAGGCCTTTCTTAGCTATGGCTAATGCTTCGATAAATTACCGAACCGGGGTGATGGATATTGCCTTTGGAAATATGCAAGTCAAACTCCACATTTTCCATGTGACTCAACATCCTTCTGAAGAGGATGATTGTTTTCTCATTGATGTGGTTGATGAAGTGGTTGAAGAACTCTCCCCTTCATTCTAAGCAAGGATCCTCTTAAAACTTGCATGTCTCACTTTGACTTCGCAAACTTTGATATCAATCAATCCATCCAAGAAGTAAATTCTTTGCTCGACATTGGTGCTATTATGGACTTTCCTCCTTGGAAAGAGCTAAGAGAACCACTTCCTCAACTTTCAACTACTCCTTCAGTCCCTTCATTGAAATCTCCACCATAACTTGAGTTAAAGTCGCTCCTAGTCCACCTCAAGTATATGTTTCTTGGAGTAAATAAAACTCTTCCAGTCATCATTGCATCGGACTTTTTAAAGGACCAATAAAATAGCCTTTTAGTAGTGCTACAAGAGCACAAAGAAGCTATTGGCTGGGCAGTGGCTGATTTGAAAGGAATTGACCCTTCTATTTGTATGCATCGCATTCATATGGAAGATGACGAAAAACCTTCTAGAGAGTTATAGTGCCGGTTGAATCCAAGCATGAAGGAAATGGTCATGAAAGAAATTATCAAGCTACTAGATACGAGAATCATTTACCCCATCTCTGATAGGAAGTGGGTCAGTCCTACTCAAGTTGTTCCCAAGAAATTTGGCCTCACCGTTGTTAAAAATTTAGCAGGAGAGCTTGTGCCACAATACACCACCACTGGGTGGCGTGTATGTATTGACTACTGGACACTTAACTCTACCACTAGGAATGATCATTTTCCACTTTCATTTATTGATCAAATCCTAGAGAGGCTTGCCGGCCAAAGCTACTACTATTTCCTTGATGGTTATTCCAATTATAACCAAGTGGCAATTGATCCTCAAGATCAAGAGAAGACTACATTCACATGTCCCTTTGGAACATTTGCCTATAGACGTATGCCCTTTGGGATATGTAATGCACCGATAATTTTCCAAAGGTGCATGATGTCCATATTCTCCGATATAGTCGAAAAGTTTTTGGAAGTATTCATGGATGATTTTTCTATCTTTGGATCTTCTTTTGACTCCTGTCTCCATAATTTATCCCTTGTGCTTTAAAGATGCAAGGAGATAAATCTTATTCTAAGTTGGGAAAAGAGTCATTTCATGGTCCAAAAAGGCATTGTCTTGGGACATGTTATTTCTAAAAGGGGAATTGAGGTCGACAAGGCAAAAGTGGAATTGATCTTTAATCTTCCGCTTCCAAATTCTGTCCGACAAATCCGTTCCTTCCTTGGTCATGCCGGCTTTTATCGCCGTTTCATCAAAGGTTTTAGCAAAATATCCTAGCCCTTGTGTAATCTTCTTGCCAAGGATATGCCCTTCAATTTTGAAGAAGCTTGTTTGGAAGCTTTCAAGAAGCTCTATACTCTTCTCTCTTCAGGCCCAATTTTGAAACCGCCAAACTGGTCTCTTCCATTTGAGATCATGTGTGATGCATCCGATTATGCATTGGGTGCGGTTTTGGGCCAGTGTGTGGATAAGCTACCATATGCTATTTATTATGCCAACAAAACTCTTTCTAATGCTCAGTTGAATTGCACCACCACTGAAAAAGAGTTGCTAGCTGTAGTGTATGCCTTGGATAAATTCCGTTATTACCTTCTTAGATCCAAGGTGATAGTCTTTTTAGACCATGCCGCTCTTAGGCATTTGCTCGCTAAGAAAGAGACCAAACCCCAGCTAATTCGATGGATACTCTTACTTTAAGAGTTTGATATTGAAATTCGGGATAAAAAAGGGACAGACAATGTCGTCGCTAACCATCTTTCTCGTCTACTCATTGAGAAATTTTCTGAATTTACGGCATTTCGTGATTCCTTTCCGGATGAGCAACTATTTCAGATTTCTCATTTAAGTCTTCCTTGGTTTGCAGATATTGCCAACTACCTTGCGATAGGAAAAATTTCGTCCAATTGGTCCAAACAAGAGAAGGACCGGTTCTTCTCCCAAGTCAAAAATTTCTTTTGGGAAGATCCGGAATTATTCAAGTATTGCCCGGACCAAATCATCCGGCGATGCATTCCCGAAACTGAATTCTTAAGTGTCCTAAATTTCTGCCACACTCTTGCATGTGGAGGACACTTCAGTGCCACGAAAACTACTGACAAAGTCCTTCAAAATGGATTTTATTGGCCCTCTTTGTTTCGGGATGCTTACAATTTCTGCAAGTCTTGTGAGCATTACCAAAAGCTCGGATCCATGTCAAGAAAAGACATGATGCCCCTAACCCCCATCTTAATCATATAAATTTTTGATGTGTGTGGAATTGACTTCATGGGACCGTTTCTATCTTTTTATGTGTATGAGTATATTCTTGGTGGATTACGTGTCTAAATAGGTTGAGGCGAAATCTACCAAAACCAATGATCATAAAGTTATGGTCAAGTTCATTCAATCGAACATCTTTAGATGATTTGGTACACCTAGGGCCATCATCAGTGACAGAGGTTCTTATTTCTGTAACCGCTATCTCAAATTCGTCCTTTTTAAGTACTCTATCACTCATAAGGTTGCCACACCCTACCACCCTCAAATGAGTGGTCAAGTGGAAGTATCTAATCGTGAGATCAGGCATATTCTGGAAAAAACGGTTCGACCGGACCACAAAGATTGGTCATTAAGACTAAACGATGTGCTTTGGGTCTACTGGACAGCGTATAAGATGCCCATTGGCATGTCACCATATTGACTTGTCTTTGGCAAAGCTTATCATCTCCTGGTTGAATTAGAGCACCGTGCTTTTTGGGCTATAAAATAGTTCAACTTTGATCTTAAACAAGCTGGCTCTACCCGCAAATTACAACTCAATGAACTTGAGGAAATTCGAAATGATGTGTATGAAAGGGCTAAAATATATATGGTAAAGACTAAAGTGTTTCATGACAAGCACATTGTTAACAAGTCTTTTGCCCCCGAACAGAAAGTTTGGCTTTTCAATTCTCGGTTGCGACTCTTTCCCGGTAAACTCCATTCACGGTGGGATGGTCCATATGTTATCTCATCCATCTTTCCTCATGGTTCAGTTGAACTTCATGATCCTACCAATGGATCTCTCTTCTAGGTTAATGGCCAACGGCTTAAGCCTTACGTTGATGGCATCGTCACGCTTCGAAAAGTGAAAAAAGTCCTATTAACGGACCTAATTTACGAGGACTGATGCGACATCATGGTTCGTTTAGCTATCGACATTAAATTTAGCACTCATGGGAAGCAATTCTTCCAACTCCAAAGCTTCCCTTTTCCAAGTTGCCTTAGCAAAAAAAATTTCAAAAATTAGCTAAGTATAGCCAAAATTTGACCTTTTCTAGAACTGTCTTGAATTGTGTTCCAGAAGTCATTTTAGGCTTGCTTAGTTATTTTAAGGTATCGGTACCATTTTTGGACTTTTTCAAGGTTGTTTGGCAATTTTCTCGAAAAATCCAAAAAATCACGGGAAATTCGGACCCCAAAATTAGCGCTTTTGCAAATGAGCTCCGATTCCCATTCCAAGGGTTATACAAGGTGTCTGGGGTCTATAGGAGCTTAAGTTTCTAATTGGAATTTTTTTGGATCCCAGTACGGCCCCCGTTCGGCCAAAATTTAAAAATAGTTCCTGACCAATTTGGCGGCCTCCCACCAGATCTTGCGGGGGCCCGGCGAGTGCCATAAGGTGCTGTAGTTGTGCGCCAGGTTTGGCCAATGCCAAGCCTTGGCATCCTGTGGGCGCCTGCCATGCTTTGGCCCTTCATTAAAAGGCCCCATTATATGGCCCATTCAAATCATTTTAACTTTCCTCCTCTCTCTAGCCAACCCCAACTCTCTATTTCTCCTTCTTCCTCTTCTTTCATCTCATTTTCTTCCATCTCCGACCTTATTCCATCCAACCTTATTCCATCCCCATCAATCTCTCATCAACATCACCACCCTTTCACACCAAGGAAGGGCTTTTGGTTTCTTCACCTTGTGTAAGTGTCTAACTCTCCCCTTCTTTCAATTTTCGGATTAACGGAGGATGGGAATGATTATGTAGAGGTGTTGTATGTGTTAGGGCTTGTATATTCTTAATTGTAGGATAAAATTTCTGGGATTTTTCATCTCTGATCATATTTTGTCTCTCTTCCTATTTGTCTTGCACGCCAGGTGTTTGATAAATTGCCAAAGCCAAATCTCTTTTCCAAATGGCACCCAAAACTTCCTCCAAGAGATCTCATTCCTCTGCGGGACCATCCAAGGACGCTCCCACTCCAAATTGGGCTGAGTGGCCCATTGAAACTGAAGCCAAATTCGTCATTAAGGATGAGTTCAAGGAAAACCCAGAAACGGCTTGGGTGGTCAAAGAATTGAAGCATCGTGGCCTTAAGGCGCTGTTCAAACCGTGCGCTAACTCTTTCTATCCGCGTCTAGTCCGCCAATTCTACTCCAACATGTTCTATTTATGCGCGGAGCCAGATGTCATTAAGACAACCATTGATGGCAAGCCTTATGCGTTTACTATCGATGACCTTACCGCGGCTTTGAAGTGTCCATTGGCATCTCCTTTGGATGAGGACCTCTAGCCTCTCTACGGTGCTTTCCCGGATGATGTGACTCTGTCTGACATTGTCCAAGACATATGCCACAACAACTATACCGGCAGTCGAACAAATCCTATCTTTTGTGCCGGCTTTGGTTCTTGGACTCCGTCCTCGCCAAAAATGTCCTCCCAATCCCCAAGCACTCTAAACGGAAGGGCGTTTTTCTGAACACCCTATATGCGGCTGAGAAGGGCTATTGGTTTTGTGTCCCACAGCTCGTCTGGGACCAATTTCTTAAGGTCTATAATGATCTTTTTGTTATGCAGTCGGACAATGCCCTAACTTGGGCACTTCCTTTCCTATATTTGCTGACCAGGCTACTCAAGAACAAGGGGCTCAAGCCATACCATGAGGAGAAGAGTGCAGAGGTCTTTCTTTATGACCTTAGTGCATGGAAGTCGAGCACCGTTTAGCTTAAGACGTCTCGTCAAGCCTGCATTGGTGGTGTGTTTGATTGGGGAGGCCCAGCTGTCCCTGTTGCTCCTGCGCCAGCTGCTCTTGCACTAGTTGCGCCACCACCACCTGCTATGTCCCGTGCCGATTAGGACTCTCTCAGCACCTGTCTTGATACCCTTCGGCTGCAAGTCGAGACCATGGAGGGCACCCTTATGGCCTTTCGTAAGGAGACTAGGGAGGGACAGTTGGTATTATAGGCCATGTTGCAGTCTTTGATCAACCGAGCAGCAGGCGGAGCCGGTGGCTCATCCTCTACTCCGATGATGGAGTGATTTTATGCTTTCAGTTCCTATTTTCATTTTCAGTAGTACTCTTTTGCATTATTTTGGGCCGCGTTTGGCATGTTTTCTAGTTTCTATTATGAACTTTTTACTATAATTCTTTTTGCTATTTTGCATGGATACTCGATTTTTTATTAAATAAAATTGCAGTTGGTTAATTTTATCTCTGTCTGGATCTATATAATGCTTATTGTACATAGATGTGTTTTTGGCAGGTTTTTAAATTCAAGTTTGGGGGGGTGCTCTTGGAATTCACATGGTGGCATATTTTACACCGCCACCAATTCTCCTCCTCTCCTTGGTATTATTGTTCTTTGTACCCTCTTTATTTTTTCATTTCCCTTTCCATCATTTGTCTTCTCACATTGAGGGCAATGTGACATTCATGTTTGGGGGTACATTTTGGTTTTGCATGTTTCCATTTTTGGTATTACATTTTTGTCTGCATGTGGTAACTTGTTCATATAAGTTAATAAAGTTAATTTTTGGGAAGCAATGATCTTGTAATCTTGGAACTTGTTGGAGATTGAGGCACGTGTTTAAAACTTTGTGTAGAGAGGCTAATGATAGTTTTTTTTTTTTTTTTGAAATAAGGAGCATCTAAAAAAAAAAAAAAAATCTAAAATGATCATGTGGATTCAAATTGGTTTATATAAATGCTTTAATTAGATTTTCGTCGGATTTCATACTCTTCTATGCTTCACACTTCACAGATGCACACCGAAAACTTAATTGTGAGGCATGTAACCTGATTTACCTTGACAATGACTCAGTTGATTTAAAATGATGACTCCTAATGAATGGATATCTTTGGCATTGATCTAAAAAAAAAAAAAAAAAAAAAAGAAGGAAAATGACTAGTTTAAGTTCGTAGCCTTGCTAACTCAAGTTATTAAGCTTTTGGAGTGTCCTTACACTTAGCACCCTAAAGCCATCCGGTTTGGGAGTTGCTGGCCTAACACTTGCTACATGGGTTAGTCAGAAAGCTTAAGGGACTTAGGCATTGCACGATTATTCACGAAATAAAAATAAATAAATATGGTTCGTTGGAGTTCGTAGCCTTGCCAACTCGAGTTATTAAGCCCTTGGAGTGTCCTTACACTTAGCACCCTAAAGCCATCCAGTTTAGGAGTTGTTGGTCTAACACTTGCTACATGGGTTGGTTAGAAAGCTTTAGGGACTTCGGCATTGCATGACCATAATATGTATCTAAAAAAAAATGTGTATTTTGAATAAATCATGCCTTAGAGACCTCATTTAAAAGGGAAATTCAATTATTTAAAGACTTGTGTTCTTGAAATGGGAAAAAGAAGGTAAAAGCCACATATTGGGAATTTGGTTCACTTTTATTGAAGTTAGAGTTGATTTCTTTTATAAATATGACAATTGAAGTATTTATATAGACTATGATGTTGATACATGAGAATTGAAGTATGTTTAGCCATTGTGTTATATCAAGGCTTCATATACGCAAAGTAGTCTGCAAAATGATTCCGTCTCCAATGTTTTATCTGTTCTAAGTTACAATTGAGTTGTGTACATTTTCTTGCATCATGTTTGATATTTTTGGGTCACAATTCAATTTTTATCATTTTGATAAGTACTTTATTTTGGTTTTGCTATGGGACTAGCAAAATGTAAGTTTAGGGGTGTGATAAGCGCCAAATATTGCATATTCAAGTGCCCTCATTTACATTAGTTAAGTCCATTAGTTGATCCTACTGTATAGATTATCTTCATTTGCATGATTTTGTTTTCTTTCAGGTTGTTTCCCCAAATAGATATAAAAGTGAAGCTTTGTGAGTTCTTGAAGATCAAATCATGCCGGGTCGGGGATTTGTTAATTTTTCCAAGCTAATATATACCATTGAACTCATGGCACTTTCTGCAAAGCCTAAGAAGGATGATTGCATCTTTAGGTCAAGCCAAAGCTAATTCAGTAGAGAAGTGAGCATGGCAGCACCATGGTGGGCACCCACTATCCATATGCAAATCCTACGGGTGCTCGAGGGTAGAGACTTCGAAGTTTGGCGAGGCCCCGCCATTTGCCATCTTGACACCCCACGGCAGCCCCCTTGACACCTCGCGGGCGCCCGCCCTGCGATACGGGCGCCCGGCAATTTGCAGACAACAAAGCATGGGCTGCATTATTTCACCCAATGCTGCCCCTTGACCCAATGGATGGCTCTGCACTCTTCTAGGGATTTCTAGCCACAAAATTAATTAATTTTGGGAGGATTTTTGGCTCATAAAAAGGCCTTGTATGTTTGTAAAGAGATATCTCACTTTGTAAGGTTTTTAGAGAGAGAAATATTGTTCTTGAGAGTTTATGAGTTATTCTTGACTGCTAAGTGCGAAAATGAAGGGGAGGATCTTATCCACACCTTGTTCCTTTGCATCTATGGGTAACTAACTCCCTTTCTAGGGAGGTGATGAAGCCCTTCTTTGTAAGCATGCTCTAGTTTTGATTTTAATTTGGGGAATGAAGTGTGTATATGGTATTTCATAATCTAGAGCACTTTACATGTTGTATTAGATATTAATGTCTATAAATGATCATTTTGAGTTGATTATTTTATCTTAGATTGTTTCCTCTCATGATCATATAGCTTGCATCTTCACAGTGAGAATGGAAATGAGATTGTTGAATGGGTTTATTGGCATGTTGTATGAGAAACTTGTAGTCCATAGCTTAGGGCCTCCCTTTGATGGATTTTTCTTAGTTCTTGACTTCATGTGCTCTTACTATAGTGATTAAGGGGTTTGATAGTACCTAGCTTAGTGAATATGTCAAAGCTACACTCTAATTTAGGTAGTTTAAACATGTGGGGCTTTGAGGGATTTTTCTTAGTTCTTGATTCTATGAACTTCTTGAGGATAATGTAGTAATCTTGTATTTCTACCTATCATTGCCATATATTTAATTTGTTTCCCAAATTAATCACAAGCTAGCATGTTTGTAAGGTTAGTAGTTGATTCACTTCCCTAACCATCTCTACATAAGTTCTCTCCTCTTAAATTCCTTTAATTTATTATTTTATGCAATTTTTAATCCTAGTTTTAAGTGACAAACAAACCAAAAAACTCTACACCTCTTTCATCAAATAAAGTGATTTTAGCGACCTTGGTTGCCGAAAACTTGCAGTCCTTGTGGTTTGACTTACCCCTATGATAGCCCTATTTTACAATGATTTGTGCTATTGCATGGGTTGATTGATTTTGGTAGACGTTTATCGACCGACCAGCAACAAGCCTTTTAAACGCCTAGGTTACCCCTAGTGGACGAGTGAAGTCTCGTGAGGGTTTCTAGAAATGATACTCACAAATATTAAGCTCATTCTCACAAGAAGAGGCACCAATATTGCAAATAAGTATTGGGAGAAAATTACCTCAAGTATGCAATGTTTCAACCCTTTCCAAGCAATCTCCCAAAATCTTAACATCAAACAAGCAAGTATGGTCCTTCACACACCAAGACAATGATCCTGCAATTCAAAACAACTCTAGAATCCTTTTTGAGTGGACCCACATCAAATATATTGCTATATGAGCCAACTAAAAAAATGATCACATCATTACCCTCAAATTAGCACACAAATCTAGCACCGATCATCAAGACAAAGAGTGAACCTTTTATTAAAGCTTTATTGATCTAGGTGCGTTTATTCTTTTCACTCAATTTTATTTTATTTATTTATTTATTTTTTTTTCTAATCCTAAGGATTAAAGATGGAAACATAGTGCAATGTGTTAAACTATTAAGCTTTCTAGCGATCACTGAGGTCGAGCGTTAGGTCAATGACTCCTAAATCAGATGGCTTTAGGGCACTAGTTGTTTAAACACCCTAAGGACTTAGAAGCTCAAATCAACTAGGCTAAAAATCAAAACTACCTCTATCTAATCATTTCCCACTTCTCACCTTTTGGGAGAAGTCCTTACTTTTTTATTTGCTTTTGCAACCTTTTTTTTTTTTTTTTTTTTCTTTTGTTCAACATTTAATTATTAACCTAGAGTTTGGGCCCTCCACCTTTTGGCGCGAGAAGTTCAGTGCTTGATGAGGCTAGAATCCCGGCTACTTAGTGAAAATGGTTTGTTATCCACTTTTGTCAAAATGAAAGCTTTCAATGTACTACTAGCCCAATTGGAATATAACCAATTCAATAATCAAAAAGCATATACCCCACAAATGAATGCTAGTGTGCACCTGTGCTAGTGTAGAATCCTAGAGTGAATCTCAAAACAATCACAAAATCAGGATGATGTGGACCACAAATGCAAGCAAAATATCTATCTTTCGAAAAATTTACTCCTAAATGGCATCCACAATGCATACAAGCAGTATTGGACTCTCAAGTCAATCAATTTTTAAATTTTAAGCAATATACTCCTCAAAAGATCAAAATCATAGCTAGCCAAGGACCAATCATAGAAAATCTCTCAAATACACAAGTCATGCTCAAAATGTTGAATTGAAAACAAACACTGCAAAGAAAACCCATTACCCCCAAACTTAAATGGCACAGTGTCCTCAATATGCAAAGAGAACAAAAGGAAAGAGTATACCAGTGCAGCTATGGGAAAGAATGGCCGGGACACAAGTATTTGAAATGGGTGATACAACCCCCCCAAACTTGGGATTTACTGTGGTCCTGAAAAAATGGCACTGGGATAAAAGCTCATCTGATAACAAAGGGGATAATAATAGTACACAGTGGACATACAAGTGTAAGTGGGATAATAAATGAAGTAAAGAGAGAATAATAAGGGTGGTCTTGAAAAATTTTGGGCACCACTTCTCTCACTAAAGTCACTGGAATGTACATGATAATGGAGTCAATCACAGAGAGATATATCAATATAATAATCTGACATCCAAAAACATAATGCATAAAATAGAGAGAATAAAAATAATGTATAGTAAAACACAGTATCTGGGCCAACAGATTGGCCGCAAAAATATAATAACAGTATCAAAAGAATAATCAAGTATCACAGATATATAAAATGATAAGAGATATGTGGAGATCAAACAGAGGAGGTCGGTCTAGCGGGGCGTGATCCCCGGATGTCTCTGGAAATGCCCTGCAGCGCAGTCAGGATGTCCGTATGGAGAGTAGTCACGTCTGCTCGGAGAGAGACAATTGCATCCTCCAATGCCTAGATACGCTCTCCGAGGCTGGGTGTCTGAGCTGGAGCGTCAAGGATGACTGGATCAGGAAATTGAGGTATATCCTGACTCTGGTGACTCCTCTGGAGGCTGCTACTCTAAGTCAATGTCCATATGCACATCCGCAACCGTCGGTGGGTCTGCTGGATTATCTGCTGCTGCTGCTACTGTTGCCTCATCCATCTCTGCTAACTCTGCCTCCTCTGTTGCTAAGTTGGCCTCATCCTCTAGACTCCTAATAAGAGCATTGTAGCTCTTATTCTAGTTCTTCTTGCCATAGTGGCAAGCCCCTGACTCAGTATGCTCCTCTGAATGGAAAGGATAGTGCTGGTCTCTGAGGATCTGAGTAATCAGATATGCAAAGGGGATAAATATGGCTCGCCTGGGCTTGGCCTTGCTGATGTAACTCGCATACAATCTTATCATGACACTCTAATAGAGTGTAGGAACAGAAAACTAATGGCTTGTATAGAATGCATAGAAGGCAACAAGAAAATCTGAGAGGCGCTGAATCTTATGGCTTGCCATAAATACATTTCGGTATAACACCGAATCAAAGAACCATAAATCATCCTGCAAGTAAGTTCGGGTGGCAAATGTCTCGCCAGCACTGGCAGGGCTAGTCAGAGCAACGACCATGTCTGTGACAGATGGCCTCTGGAGAATAGGATAATCAAGGTTGGGAGGACAGACGTGTGGACACCGAGAGGATATGGCCAATGTCTCAACTGTAATGCAGATGAGATGGCCATCAATGGTGGTCCGCAACTCCACTAGGTTACTCGGGGCTAGTCGGAGGTTCTGGTAGAACAACCGGATGAGCCGCGGGTAAACCGGATTGGCCACCGGGGCCAGAATAGCTGAAATAACGCGGCGAGAAATATCATCATAGGCTACCCTGGTCAGAATCAACCAGGAGAAGAAAGTAGTATCAAAGATGGACTCATATGCCACTGTAAGGCACAAATATCTGCGTTGAACTCGGTCGCGGACCATGTCGGGCAGTACCGATGGTGGACTAGGTGAGGGGCGCGGTGTTTGCCCGGACCCCTCAGCTGATGAAGCAGATGAAGATACAGAAGTAGAAAAGGCAGAGCGCTCAGATTGAGCTTGAGCTGGCTCCTCAGGCTCCTATACTCGCGGCACACAGATCGAAACATGTTTGTCAAGTCAGGATAGATAGATCATAATAAATTACATGAATCTATGTAAGTTATAATGCAGCGAAGGATAGACAGTGACTATTCCAATAAAGTGAAACATGCTAGACATGACAGAGTGGAATGCATCTAATGTGGAAAACACAAGCATTAGGGCATAAATAAGTTAGCATGGAACACAAATTAGGGTATGCAAAATAATGAGGTTCGATCGATCATGAAAAAGATGAGATCGATCCAGGTTAGATCGATCAGGACATGGATAAGATCGATCATGCTCTGATCGATCGTAGAATTACTATGATTGATCGAACATGTGGAAAAACATGAATAATCACAGATCTATGATGTGGACAACACGGGGGGGCACCTGAGTAAGCTAATAGGCCCCATTACACCTCAACAAGTCAAGATTGGTCACTTAAGTCGGCACGTGACCCCCGAAATCAAAATCAAAACAAAATATATGCAAATATATATATATATATATATACACACATATACTTGAAAGCTTTAAAAATGGCAACTAGTAAACATGGAAGTTGTAGATCTAACATGGGAACATCTAAAACATGTAGGTTAACTTGAAAATGAAAAGAGGGAACCCAAAAACTTACCAAAGTGAGATAAGAGAAGTGGACCGAGAGTGAGATGAGATGAGGATCGAGTTTGGAAAGCTTGGGAGGTCGCCGGAGGTTCATTGGAGATGAGGAAGAAGATGGGCAGTGGCAGGGAAGAAATAGGGCTTTGGATCAATGTTGAAATCGATCCAAATGATCCTTGGGTTATATTTTTAAAAACAGTCTCCGACATGTTCGATGGATTACTTGGGTGATCAGATCGATCAAACTTAGATCAATCAGGAAGGAACTCAGATCGATCGAACCCACAAAACGAAAAAGTATTTTTGAAATTTTTGAATTTTTTTTTTTTTTTAAGTTTTAAATTTGAAATTCAAAAAGAAGTAAAAGTCAACAAGAAGCACCCAGATCAATCGAACATAGATCGATCGAAACTCGATCGATCCAACAAGTGAAAACCTGCAGACATGTTCGAACGATACATAGAGAGCTGATTTTTCATGGGTTCAAAATTTTTCTAAGTATGGGATGAAGATCGATTTAAGGGAAAACTGGATCGATCTTGGAATTTTTGGATCGATTAGAAATAAAGTTCGCACGATACACAGAGAGTTAAAATATGTGGGAAATTTTCCCACGATGGGATAGAGAGATGATTGGATGTAGAGC